GAGCCTCCCTGAAGCGTTTTCAGGATCTCTGAGGGTCTGTGCCCCGGCCGGGCCCACGGGCGACGGAGAGGCGCGAGCGAGCATCCACAGCGAGGGCTGGGAGTGCGCCAGTCCGGGCGCTGAAGTTGGGAGGTAGCCCATAATCCCGGCCTTGGAGCTGCCACCTCCGCGCCGCAGCGGCGGGTAGGAAGGGGAAGAGAGTGGCCTGAGGGCTCTGGAAGGGCCTGAGAAAGCATGAAGTCTTGCGGGCTGTGCGAGTTCAGGAAGTCCACCTTTCTCTTTGCTGACCTGGTGGCGCAATGGTTAAGCATTTAGCTGCTAACCTTAATGTCAGTAATTTGAACCCACCAATAGCTCCCAGAAGAAAGATCTAGCGATCTGCTCCCATAAAGGTTACAACCCAGGAAACTCAGCGGGGCAGTAATACTCTATTGGGTCGCTACCAACAGCAATCGACCAGACGGCACACAGTAACATCAGTGGAGACGACAGAGTCTTGGATTCAAGGAAATGTGCCTGCAGCTGGAAAAAAAGAGAAACGAGCGAGAGAGACAGAGACACACAAAGAGAGACAGAAGTTTTGAGAGAGAGAGAGACGTTTTTAGAGACACCAGGCGTCCTGCTGCCGGAGCTAAGAACCATTGGGCTGTGTGGTCCAGCTCAGGCTGCGTGTTCCCCGCCCTTTTGCGAAATAAAAAACGAGGCCCCAAAGCAGGAAGTGTCTCTTAAATCTAAGATCTGGCCAGCCTCGCCTCCTCTTTCCAAATGGTGATTCTCTCCCCCTACAATTCAGTTACCCGTCCCCAAAGGCGCAGAGAGAGAGAGGCTCCTGGGTGAACTTCTCCAGACCTCTCTACCCACGAGGCTTTCGCGGTCCTTTTAAATGTAAAGTAGTGTCCCTGTGTTTCTAGATCGAATTAAAAGTTACCTTAAATTTGCAAGTGGCAAATTTACAATTTAAAAAGTCTTGCACAGAGCCTTTCTCACCTTTTCGGCCACTTATGGTTGTGTCTGGCACTAGGACTTCCAGAATTTAAAGGGGAATGCAATGAAAGTAAAAATCTGACTGTGACTCACATCCCCAGCGGACCAGTCCGCCCACCGCAGCCAAGCCCTTCCGAGAGAGGCCAGTGGAAATGTTTCTTTCCAATAACTCAAGAAATGCCAGGCGTCCTGGCTCCCAAATTGTCTTCCTCCCTGATATCTGGTCCTGCTCTCAAAGCCTCTTTCTCAGGGTCTTCGCCAAAGGAGGGTTTGTGACCCTTTGAAGAGCTTGGCCCGTTTAGGGGATCCCCCCAAACTTGGAAGCAGTGTTCATTTTCCGCTTCAGTTGGAAAATTCGAGGTTCCGCATGGTGCAGTCCCCATGACAGCCAACCTCACTGGCTCTTTAAATTGATCTCTCAGGGTAATTCAAAGGATTCATGTCTCAACAGCACAACCTCAAAAGCCACCACTTCCCTGGTGTAAAGAGTGTGGTCTTATCTTACTTCCCAGTACCCCACTTAAGTTCCAGCTCTAGAAAAGGGGAGAAGCCCACTGCCAGGACAGTGGTAAGGGTCCCAAGTCTTTCTGCAGTACCCAAACCACCCAACCCATTACCAGAGTTGATTCCAAGTCACAGCGATCTTGTAAGACACAGAACTACCCCATAGCTTTCCCAAGGCTGTAACCTTTACCGAAGCATCCTGCATCATCTTTATCCCGCAGGGGGCTGGTGGGCTAGAACCCCCGAGCTTTCGCGTAGCAGCTGAGCGCTTACCCACTACGCCACCAGGGCTTCTTTCCGCAGTATCAGGCCTTTGGAAACAACACTCAAAAGAAGCAACTGGCTCCGGGAAAAGTCGCTTCCCTGATTGATGAAACTTCTCCCCCTCCCCTTTCTAAATAATAAACTCACTGGGAATGGCTCGAGGGCTGCCTTGTGTTGGTTTCAAATAAATCCTCCACAGCTCCGTCCTCACCCAGAGAAATGAATCACCGTTGGGAAACAGACGATTATTCCCCCATTTGTCTGCTTAAAACCAGTAGAAATAAGCACCTTCCACTGCGGCCCTCACTTCAGCCCTTTCCCCTGACAGCGGACCCCTGGAGATGGGTCCGTACCCAAAAGGGGCAGCTCCAGGAAGTCAGCAGGGACCCGCGAAGGGAAGAAGCACCAGCTTCCCACAAGTTCCCTCCGCGCTGGATCCTGGAAAGAGACGTCCCTGACACCCGACGGAGGAAGCTAGGAGCCCTTTGAAGAGCAGCTGAGGCCTCCACCGGCTGGGAGGCGATTTTCTGCTCCAAAAGCAAATTCTGCGGTAGTCCTCCTCGGAAGGAAGGTTGGGCAATCTACTTCCGTTAGTGATACCGCTTCGGAAACCCAAGGAGGGGTCGCTAAGAGCGGCCGACTCGATGGCACATAACAACAACAACACCGACACACGTCCATCAGGTTTCGGATTTCCTTAGTGAGAGATAAGAGTCATGTGCTGTTGGAGTTATCATCACTGGAGTTCGAGATCTTGTTCTCTTTAAACCATCGAACAAATTCTCTTGCTGGCTTCCAAACTATTGGGAAGTATTTTAGGGTAGGGGAGGAGGTAAAGACAAAATCTGCATGAAATGGATTAAAATGATCCCGTTTTAATTGTGTTCATGTAGAAGACGCCCGATCGTATTATACTAATCTGTCCTGCAATCTTTTAAAGTCGGGGGAGGAAGTAAGAATTCCCGCTATAAATCTGCGAGTTATTGAGCCTTGGGCGGTCGTTCGTCTCACCCTGAGCTCACCTTACAAAGTAGAGCGGCCTGCCCTTTCACCGCAGGGCAAGCTGCAGACCAGGCAGGCGGACGGCTCGGCACGGGATGAGTTTCTAGGACCACTCTTTGTCGACTTTTAAAACATGTACTAGATTGTAACTTACTTAGAGAGAGAGAGAAAGAGGAGGCTGCAGGATCAACTTAAAGTAAAAAAAAAAAAAAAAAAAGTTAACTTACAGCTTTATTCTGGTCTGTTGCTAACACAGCCGGCGTAGTCATCACTCCGCCTCTCATTTCCTGCCGCTATGGGCTTCCAGATTACTTTTTTGATCTCAACTGCTGAGTTTATGAGGGTCTGATTACTGCAGAGAAATAAGGAGCTCAAATAACATAAGACTACACCCCGGGACAATGTTCCATTCGAAGGGCATTTAGTTGTAATAATTTACACCCATTTACCTGACCTCTTTCCCTGTAAATGACCAAAGAAAAATCTTCACATCCGACCACCCATCCAAATCTCTCAACCACATCCAGATACACATTACTGGCCCACAATTCTCCTGTGCCTCTGTCCCCAACTTCTAAGATTTTAAGCAAAGGCAAAGCCAGGATTTAAAGGTTCTTTTTTATTTGAAATCTCATCCAGAAACACTGGTTATTAATAAATATATCATAGTTATCAAGAATATATAAAAAATAAAGACAGGTATTGTCTTTCAGGCCCTAACAAAATATTTCAAGCAAACGTTCAGGAAAATAAAATCAGCAGGCCTCCCCAAACCACAATAAGTTTTCAAAGCTGATAATAGAGAGAGCCGACCCCGCATGCAGAATAATTGAGCAAGGGGGGAGCGAGATACTAAAGGGAGCCCCCACGTTTGCAAAGGGGCGCCTAGAACAGGAGGAAGGTCTGGAATGGAATTTGAAGGGGGTGGAGTGGGGGAAGAGGCTCGTGTGTGAGTGTGGGTCTTTGCACCCTGCCCCCCTTTCATTTCTTACAACCACAAACAGATAGATGCAGTACTTGGGAGAATTCACTAATAAATCCTTGTTACAAGGAAAAAAGGCGCCACGGCCTGCACAACATGTTTAGACAAGATTCATTTAGAAGCCTGCATGCATTCTTTTGACCTACACTGAGCCAAGGAAAAACCCACATAGGAAATGTCAGGCCTTGTCGGGAGCTGAGATTCAAAACTTGAGTCTTGATCTCTCTTGCTCTCTCCATTGTCTCTAGAAAAACTGTAGAGAGGACAGTGAGCGACAATCGTAACTGTATCTACCTCGAGGAAATATTTACATGAGTTTCGCACAAAAGGGATGGTTGTGTTTTTCCAACGTAGGAACACAGAGCCATAGAAGCTAACTCACATCCCTTCACAAGTTTGTAACTACACCTATCCAGTCTTTATACAAGTAATGCAGTTTTAACAAGAGCATATGGCAGTGAGAAATACTGGCGCGGCTTGGGGAAAAGAAGCATGCAAGAAAACACACGACGTCTGGTTCGAGTCCCCCTTTGCTACTGCCTACAAATTGCAGTTTGGTTTTGGTCCTTGCCCTCCCGGGGTCAAGTGGGGTATGAGATGTCTCAGAAGGTGTGGGTGGCCGCGGGGCCCCACACCCGCCCTCCCGCCGGCGGGGTGCCCAACCTCCCTCTGTGCTCCGGGCCCGGCCCAGCGGCCCCTCCCGCTGCTAGCCCCCCATCCCCGGCAGCCGGGCGGGCCCGCTGCTCACTTGAGCAAGTCCTTGGACTCGGCGGACAGCCGGGCCATGTTGGCGGTGGAGAGAGCGGACAGGTGCGGCGGCGGCGGCATCTGGCAGATGGTGCAGGGGCAGGGTAGCCCGGCCCAGTGCTGGAAGCCGCTGCCCAGCTGCAGCGCGGGCGGCGTGGAGGGCGCCTTGAGTAGTGAGTGGGGAGGCCGGATGGTACCGATGGTGGGCAGAGAGGCAGCAGAAAGCGGCGAGGAGGCGTTGCCGGAGGACAGCGCGCCGCCCAGGATAGGGTGCACCGGGTGCATGGCGTTGGCAGCGTGCGCTGGGTGGCTGGCCGAGTGGCCCACGGACCCGCAGTGGAAGGCCGAGTGGTGGCCCCCGTAGATCTCGCCAACCAACCTCTTCATCTCCTCCAGGGAGCTGGTAAGCATGAGGATGTAGTTTCTGGCCAGCAGGAGCGTGGCGATCTTGGAGAGCTTGCGCACCGATGGCCCGTGCGCATAGGGCATGACCTCGCGCAGCCCGTCCATGGCGAGGTTCAGGTCATGCATCCTCTTGCGCTCGCGCCCGTTAATCTTCAACCGCAACTGCTGTAGGTCCTGCTCCGACAGTTGCTTCTTGATTTTGTACTTGCTGCTCTCACCCGCGGCTTTGGCGCCAGCCCGCGAGAGGCTTTCCCCGGGCATCTTCTGCACCATGTCGCCCTGCGTGGACGAAACCGAGTTGAGACGGCTCTCTTGGTGGTGGTGGTGGCGGTGGTGGTGATCCCTCAGATACATCTCATCCATGTCCGGAGATGAAGCTCTGCTGGAGACAGAGCTCGAATCAGAATTCATTTTATTGCAGGGAATGCGGCCCTACCGTCTGGAGGCTTTAGGCGGGAAATCAAAGAAAAGAAAATCTTGAATTAAAAAAGAAAAGCTGCGTAGCCCAGCAATCCACTGCTCAGTGGCAAGTTGGAGGAAGAAAAACGGAGGCGCTGCAGTTCCCCGCCTCTCACCCTCCCCTCTCTATAGTTGGGCTGTTTCCTGGACAGCTACTTGGTGTGTGCTTGAACTAACCTCATCCTGAAAAAGAGGGGCTTTTATAGAGCTGCGGCAGAGCAAAGAGACAAAAGGAACCCTCCTATCTATCCTGGGCTGGTGAGGATGACGTGCCATCCTTCAGGGCGGTGCGCTTTGCTGTCCCATTTAGCAAGGATTGCTATTCATATTCATTGTGGGGCCGCCCTGGGACACCTCTGCGCCTAACCGCTAGGAGCCCCCAGGCACAAAACCCTCCGATTGACTCATTCACCGCTCCAGCTCACGCCTCCCCGATTTTTTTTTTTTTTTCCCTAACTTTCTTCTACCCCACCCCCCTTCCCAGTTTCCCTAATTAAATCCTACGTAGGGGACCAAAGGATGGGAAGTGAACGGGGCCAGGCGTTTGGCCCGGGTTCCTCTGGGCTTGGAGAAATGGATCGAAATTTTCTGTCCCCTTCTTTTCACAGCTGCTCCTAAGTTGAGCAAAAAGTAGTGGGCAAAGAGAGGTCAGGGAGGAAAGACTTGTGGGATCTGGGTGTGGGCCGGGGTCAGGTTTCAGTGCATGGAACACAGAAGGAAGGGGAAATTGGAGGTGCGCCCTGTAAAAATTTTCTTCTTTAGAGCTCTTTTCCAACACACTGATATTCTGTGGACCTTGCTCCTTGGGCCCTTCTAGTGTGGTTTCCATGGGATGCCCATACCTGGTGATGGGTTTGCCCTGACACTGCTGTGGGGAGGGGTGTCTTGCTCTCTAGTTCTTTTTAAAGAAAAGAAAATGATGACCGAAATGATTCCAGCTTTGCCTAGTTCTTTAACTTCTTAGACCCAGAACTGAGAAAGCCAAACAAACAAACAAACGAAATCCTCTCGTTCTAAGAAGAGTCACTTCGGAAGGAGAGCGAGAGGCGCTGAGGAGGCGGCGAGGGAATTAAGGATCGGAAAGGTTCCGACAACTCCTGAGAGAGAGTTTCACCTCCTGCTTCCCCGCAGCCCACAGTCCCAGGCATTAGGGAAGAGGGTGGGGCAGCGGACCGCCGGAAGCTCCGCTGGGTCGCCTTTGGCCGCTGGGCCTGCGCGCAGGGAGCCTCTGTAATTCAGTGGCAGTCCGACTTCCGCGGATGGGTCTACAGGGCTGGGGTAGCCCCACGCCCGCTGGTGGGGAAAAGCAAAGGCGCACACGGCAGAGTAATGAACTACCTTGGGGGGTTGTGGGTGGGTGGGTGTGGCTCGACAAGGAAGGGATCCGGAGAGCCCCTCGGGGGCGCGCGTGGGCGCTGCTGCCCAGGGCAGAGCAGTGTCTGTGGCTAAAGGGGAGGCTCCGTGCAATTGCGGAGGTGGGCGCTGATCTCTCCCCTCTCCCTTGCTGCGTTTTTGTCTATCCGGTCTTTAGCAGAGCAGCCTGAGGGGCAAGGAGGAGGAACCTCCGGGACCGAAGAGAGCCCCGGGGTGGCCTCTAGAAGAACCTGGGGACTGCCAACCTCCTGGTCTGGAAGAACCGAAGACAGACGCGAGATGTGGCGGTGGGTCTGGGTGGAAGTGCGAAACCCAGTCAGTCCCGGAACCTCTGGCAGTTAGGTCCTCGAAGTGCGTCGCCGAGTCCCTGCGAGTCTGTAGAACTCTCGGGGAAGAGGAGGCCCGCTTTCCACCGCCAGCAGTTGAGCGGCCAAGGGCAGAGGCCTAGGTCCGAAACTCTCAGGCGTTGCCAGGCTGGGCCTCCTTGGCAGATAGTCACGCAGCAAAGCAACGGCGGGAGACAGAACCACGGAATGAAAGTTTTTCCACATACAACTTTGCTTCTCTTTAAAAGAACAGAAATGGCCAACCGTCTCTAGTCGAGACCAAAAAATTAATGCCCCTGAAGATTTGACCGAAATAGCTAACCCTCCTGCCTCCTCCATCTCGGTAAAGGAAAGTTTCTTAAAATGAAGAATCCTAGGAATTTAATTGAATGCGGAGAGCTTGATGTACAAACGCACCGGAATAGCCAAGCAAACAGAGCGCTCCCCAATTTATCAGACTTGTCCGCTTCAGCTAAGAGAGTGACAACGTCCAAGTTGCTGATGAGAAGGGGTCTCCAGAACTTGTGCATGTATTCTAACACCGTCCCAGGTGACAGATGGAAGCTGGGGGAGTGGTGTCTTCCCCGGGACAGCCCTCTGCAGCTCCCCTGTTGATCAAGTGGGGTCCCAGGGAGTGCCTGACTGAAGGAGAGGCAGCCTCCCAGCCCTGGGCCAGTAAGCGCACAGGCCTGGCCCTTGCAGTCCTCCCAGTCACCTTGTTGACTCTTGGGCATCTTGACGTCAGTGTTTCCCAAGCCCAGACTGAAAATGCTTCATCTCAGTTGTGATGTAGGGAACTGGCAAAGTCTAGTTTGAGCAAGAGGCTGACATTTGGAGGAGTAGCAAAATCATGTTGCGAAAGGTATTTGTACCCAGAGTAAAAAAAAAAAAAAAAAAAAATCCCAATTTTCTCAATGGGCAATATGAAACGAAAACTAAATTGTGCCCAGAGTAATGGAAAAGTTGGTGGAGGAGGTGGAGGAGGTGAAGGAGGAGCAGTCCTCTCAAAGCAAGCGGAACTGTTCACTTGCGGGGCTGGAAGGACAGACAGAGGCTGAGTTCTGGGAGTCAGTACCAGAGTCATCTCTCCTGCAACGGCCTTGCGGGACCTTTCCGCCACCGCGAGGTGGGTGTTCGCGGGCCACGACCAGCCCGCCACCCGGCTAGGACGGGAAGGTGCGCCCGACCTCTGCTTGTACAGACTAGACTCCTCAAATGGACTTTAAGCAGATTTGCGGTGGCCTGGCCGAGCTCCGGTCCGTCCCTGCCGGGACAGAACTGGTTCTTTCCTCCACAGTCGGTCGCTCTCTACTTCCCCCGAGGGCTGCGGTGTGTGAGTGGGGGGTGGTCCAGGGCCCCAGCCGGCAAGCACTTTCAGGGAGGACTTCGGGGAATTTCAGGCTCTCCTAGGATGCTAGTTACCCATCCCTACGCCTTGGAAGGATCGACAAGGAGAGGAGAGAGAATGAGTAGGGGATCCCAACTTTGCTCGCCATAAAACGGGACGATGTGTCCAAGGACAAAAAGGAGGAGGTTTTGACGCTGCAGCTCCGACGCCGCTCCCACATTCGTGGCCTCCAGGAGTCTCTAGACTGAGGTTTCACCCGCCACCCCTTCTTAGCCCCCTGAGATTAGCCCTGGCCCCGAGATGGACCTGCACGGACGTGAAGGGGGTGACTTACTCCGACCCAGCTCTTTCTGAGTTTGCCCCTACCTGCGCCCACCTGGGAGTGTGCGGGGAGCAGGGCGTAAGAGCGCGCGGCTGGGCGGAGGCTGCAGCAGCTCCAAGGGGCCCTGGCCCGAGATGCGCGGTGAACTTGGCCCTGGCCAGGGCCCCATTCAGAAAGATCTCTCGGGCGCCGAGCGGGGGCTAGCGGCCTCGCGGAGCAGCCGCCTGAGCTCCCCTGGGACCCGCCCCGGGCCTAGCGGCTGGGAGGGCTGCGCCTGGGAGGCAGGGGGCGTTGTTTGGCAACAGGTGCTTCCCAAGGCAAGTGGGCCGCCCCAAGCTAGCCCTGTCTCTGGGCAGAGCTGTAAGTTTCTCAGCCTTTATAAGACACGGGAAAGCAGCGGGTCGCGATGGGCGCCCACCCTCCCTGCGTGTCCCGGGAGCGGGGCCTCAGTCCAGCAGCCCCAGGCGGGCGCAGCTCTGCGCCTCGGGGAGCGCGTACCCCGGGGGCTGCTCGAGCCTTCCCTCCACCCTCCACCCGGGACTTTTCCTTACCTGACTGATGCCCTGGGAGTGCCGTTCGGCTCCCGCAGCTCCAGACACCAGGTTGCGCTCCAGAAGCTACCGCCTCTGCCAGAGGCGGCGGCGATTTTGGCTCCGGAGCGAACCCCTAGCTCTAGGCAAGGACCCGGCAGCAAATGTCGCCGCCGCTGACCTGCCAGGCGGTTAGTGTGAGGAGCTGGTCAATCAGCAACGCCCAGAGACTCCCCTGGCTCCTCGAACCGCAAACTTGACCTGCAGAAACTTTGACCGAGTCCGAAAGGCGGGAGGCAGCCCGTGGGCCTCACCTTGCAACCCACCCTCTGCAACGCACACAGGAAAAAAGCGAAAAGAGTGGCGGGTCAAATCCAGCCGAGGAGTAGCCTAAGACCAGTTGATCACGGAGGGGCTTCTCCAAAAATAGTTTCTTTCTTTAGCTGAGTTTGAACAGCAGTTACTTCAAAACATTAACACTGGGGACAAGGTCATTGGGATTGGTAGGCTGATCAAAGACGGCGTTAAAAAAAAAAAAAAAGCCAACACAAATCGCAGACAGGCAAAATTGTAATCTCCTCTTGCAGCAACGCATGCGAATCCGTCGGAATGAGTCGAGGGTACTGAATTCCGAACCCAGGCTCAGAAGATGCCAAAATCGAAACCCCAACAATTAAGTAGATGATGGAGTGAGTTTTCTTTTCTTTTCTTTCTTTCTTTTCTACCAGGGCCGGAGAGGATGGATCTGGGCAGACTGAAGTGTTTCCGTTTTCTGGGTTTCCCCATAATTTACATAATTCCTTAAACAGTGACCTGCCCAATATTTTTTTTCCTCTCTCTCTTTAAATCCCCCTTTTTAAAAAGGAAAACTAACAAAAGAAGGACAGCAGAATTTTGTGATGCGGAAGTAACTGCTTTTCACAATGTTGGATGTGACACTTGGAGGATTCAAGGAAGTCCCAGAATAGCATAAAATGATGAGGTGCTAATTATGTGAATATATAGACAAGTTAATACATTGGCAGAACTGAGAAGTTTGATTTTAATGATGCATAAACAGTAAGGCTGGCTGGAACTTATAGATTCATTATAATCATTTAAAGACTGACTCAAGTAAAAGGACATATGAACGTCTGGGCTTCCTTTATAGGATTTTGCTCAATTAATGAGCATACCTCAGTAGTACCCCCTCCTACCCTTTTCTGGTTAACATCTGCTCAATTGCCAAAACCTCTGTTGAGTTTTCCTCCTGTAGAAAGTCAGTAAAT